CAGGCCCTTGGCTGCGCTGCGGCCCCCCCGCGGAGAGCCCGTCTTCCCGGGCGGCGCCCAGTCTCCCCGGAACCCTGACCCCCGGCTCCCCAAGTGGGTGCAGACTCCTCCCCGCCCCCTCGCTCTTCTAAAAATAAAGCTCGGAAACTGCCCACCTGGAGCTGTGAGATACGCGGGGCGGCCCGACGGGGGCTCGCGGGGCGTGCGTCTGCTCCCCGAGTACCTGAGAGCGAAGCGCTGGCTTGGCCTGGGCTGGTTTTCACATGACCTGGGCAATGCTGACCAGGCCATCCCAGGGTTACCCCCCCCAGGCCAGCCGTTCCCAGCCGGTGTGCCAGGCGCAGGTGTGCTGCAGAATTTTTAAACCGTGTGGTGCCTGTTTAGTCAGGGGCGCCCACCTCTCTTCCCGGAGAGTGTCAGATAAAAGAATGACAACAGCCAACAATGGCCATCCTGTGTGCGGGAATCAAAATTATATCTATTTTTGTCAGATTGGCAAGAAATGTATCTTTTGCTGTGAATCAAAATTATATCTATTTTTGTCCGATTGGCAAGAAATGTATCTTTCACTGTGCCACAGAGTTTTAGTAATTCGTTTATGTGCCATGAGATGAACCAGGTTGAAAATCGCTGCCCTAGACATTGGCAAGGCCAACAAGTCACCTGTCTCCAGGTCCTCCAGTGTACAGGTGCCGGGCGGCTTTGCAGCCCTTTCTCACTCAGAATAACTCGTCAGGATGCATCTTACTGCCCCGTTTTAAAGGAAAGGAGCGGAGCCTCAGGAAGTTCATAAATGAGCTGTGATGGGAAATGAATTTTCTTCCTCACTATTATAACAGAGGAAATACAGGACTGTAATAGCTTCATTTCTGTGCTGTCCCTTAAGGAAGCCACTGCCCCTGAAAGGTCAAGGTCGGCGGTGCTCAGCGGGCTAACCTGCCATCTCAGAAGGTGGATTCCAAAAAATTGAATTTATTCAAGGATGGGGGATGGGATACCCAGCACTGAGCCAAGGGTACTGGGTCCACGATGGCCGCAAAATATACTTAGGACAGTGAAACGAGGAGGAGCATGGACGAAGCAGCAGGAGAGCCTCGCTGGGCTGCTCGCTAAGTCGGCGAGAAGGGGCCTTCCAGGGCGAGCTGCTGCTGCCCATTGCTCCCCTGGTTGCAAGTCTCGTGGGGGTCCCCTGGGAGGGAAGACAGGGGAGGGAGATGGCGCTGGCGTGGTCCCCTGGTGGGGACCTCACGCTGGGTCCTTTGTCCTGAGGGCATTTCTCTCTTTCTTGTAGGTGGAAATATTAGGGGAGGTGTCAGGGGAGGATCTCAGTAGAATATTCATCAGCTCTCCAGGTGAGCCCTTTCAGGGTCCTGGTCTCCGCTGATTGGTGGCTGCCAGAGCAGGGGGTCATTAGTCAATGCAGCTGGTCCTGAGGCAGCCAAGGCCCACTTGTCTGGCTTTGCTGTTTTTCTGGGCCTGGAGCTAAAATACAACTGAGACCTAGATGTTATCTTTAGGGAGGAACTCTGGTGG